TGAGATCTACCCCTATGCGGTCCCACGAGGAACGCTATCAGCGCGCATTGCAGGAACAGGTATGACTGATTGCGGCCAAACGATCTCTTTGGCCAGTGGGGTTCTCCAATTGGCCACCTAGGCTCGGTCGGCTCGCGGCACAGGGGGCCCCTCATGCGTTGGCTTCTTGCCGAACAAATCACACATGTCCACCATGTCACCTGGCTCTCAGAGTGTGTTGCGCATGTTCACATACATTTGAGACCACCTTCCGGCATGTCTGCTTAGCACTACGTTGGTACAAGTTGATCGAATTTTTGCTTGTTGGCCGGAGGGGCGCTTCAAACCGTGCAGGTTGGCTCACATCTTTTTCACATTATTTTCATGTTGTCCTCGCGTGTTGCACTTTATTCAAAGCGGGACGTGGCGCCAGCGCGTTCGTCGCTGTTCTCTCCCAGGCACAATAGGTCACAGTGGGTGCCAGAACTGGTTGGGTATCGGGTACAGGGGCGTATTCATGACAGATGTCAATGTCGGCTCTGGTTTCCAAGCCAAGCTTGTGGCGGCAGACTTGGCAATCGAGTTTGCTCGAGAGTTGGCAGGCATTATACGGTGATGGAATGAGCGGTTGACACATGTATCGATGAGACAACCTGAACAATGGCGTCAAGCGGAACAAAAACAACCAAACAATTTCACCTTACGAGCATCGTCGAGGCGAGATCCCCACCTTCGTCTTTCTGGGGTCAGGCCCTGCTGTATTCACAGTGTCGACCGCTGTCCGCTGTGGGGTTCGACAATTGTCCACCGTGACACTGCACGTGGTCGCGAGGTTTTGCAAAGGTGGTACGTGGCTTGGAGGCCTCATTACGCGCCCTGTGTGTTTGTGTGCTTTGTCGTGCCGGCGCCGCTCGCCTTGGAGGTGGGGCTTGGGATGCCGGACAGGTTGCGAGCGAGGCATTTTATGTGGTTTTTGTTTGCACCTCCTTGTCGCTCTTCTTGTCCTTCGTCTTCTTCTTTGCAGTTGTGCGGCACGGCTCTCTGGAATCTGTGTTTTTCTATGCCTTGGCCCTCCCTGCCCCCGCCTGCGGGGCGGGGGCACGATGGGAGCGGCGTGGCACGGAAGCCCAGGCGGGCTCCGCACTGCGTGTTGAGTTCCTTCCGCTCTTGACCTCACCACGCGCCCCCATCTCGGAGGGCACCAATTATACACCAACACCGATCCTGGCCAGGATCACCCTGGGCACAGGATCGGTGTATACGCCCTCCTGCCTGGGGCAGGAAGGCATATACGCCGATCCTGGGCCCAGGATCGGCCTGGCCAAGATCGGTGCAGGTGTACAGTTGGTGCCCTCCCACCATCGGCCCGTGCCAGAGGAGGCGGCCTGGGAAGTTGCCCACAGCGCGCAGCTGGCAGTGGGCTCGACCACAGCCTCACGCCGAGGTGCGAGCTGCAACGCCTGCGCGCGGGGTGCGCAGGCCGGACGCCCCGCAGCCCTGCAGCGGCGCGCTGTGTGCGCCACTGGGGAGGCCGGGGAGAGGCGTCGGGTGCCCCGCGCGGCCCGAGGCCGGGCTTGGGCCGATGGCGGGGTGCCTCCATGCCTGGCGCGCCATCATGTTGGAGCAGCTCCTGAGGCCCGTCAAGATCTCGGGCTGCCCAGCTCACCACCCACCAAACCACCCCAACCCAACCCGAAGGCTCGGATTTACCCTCGATTTCCAGTGGGGGGGGGTCGGGAAACATCGAAAAAACACGTGTGGAATCCTTACCCCCCCAACCCGAAATTCGGGTCTTCGGGTTGGGTTGGGGTGGTCTGGTAGGTAGTCACCAGCCGACCCGTGGCCAGCCATCCCGTTCCGCGACGTCCCCGTCGCCTCGCTCCGCGACGCACGCGCGCGGCCGGAGGGGAGCTCGAAAGGCGAGGATGGCGTCACGGGGGGGGATGGTTTGCGAGGGGTCCATTAGGCCGCGCCCGACAAGAAGGAGAACGGGAAACCGTGGAACATCGCATTGATGGAGTGCCTCTTCAAGTTCGCGAGCGGCGTGAACCAGGACACCATTCGACGCCAGCGGCCCCGTGACGCCGACTCCAACTCCAGAGGTCTACACTGGGCGCAGTATGGTAGTTAGCTGGCACGCTCGGAGCTTATGCTCATGGCGCACTGGAGTTTATGAAGTTGCGTTTCATTCTGGCTCATTGTTGGGGAAGCGTAAGTCTCGAGTACGCCAGAACCCGGGTTTCCCAACGCTTTTTCGCTGAGGGCGTCCTGAATTTCGACGGTCCACTTTTCGTAGGATGTCTGCAGCGGGAGCTCGCTTCAAATTTCAGACTTGGTCTCATCATTTTCATGCTGGCCCCGTCAGGCCCGCCCGAGCCCCCTACAGCCCGAGTCTTACTAGGGGGCCACTCGCGAACCCTACCCTTACCCCTGCCTGCCCCACGATTTCTGAGGGGGAGGGTGGGGTTCACTAACTCCCAGACGAAGTGAACCCCACCCTCCCCCTCAGAAATCGTGGGGG